ACATCTGCTCAAGGCAAGTGACTAGGGACCGAGAAGTTTTAATGAGTCCATCAGAAATGCTGCTTCATACACCATAAACATAAAAGCTGATTTGACCTAAGAATAAGGAATACATTGTTAATTTTCCAGAAATGTACTAACTGCATGGGATTATATAAACCAAAGGGACACTACTACAACAATCACTGCACTAAACAGTTTCACCACTAGCTCAGGGGAATGGATGTTAAAAAAATTAATAGGGTTAGATGATTTAAAATCATAAGATAGTATACAGTGCAGATGGTCCTTGACTTATGATTTGACTTACAATTTTTTTTTACAATACTGTGAAAGTATATCTATCCAGCCATTCTAATTTTCATTTTCAGTATAGTATGCAATAAATCATATGAAATATTCAAAACCTTGTTATAAAACAGGCTTTGTGTAAGATGATTTTGCCCAATTGTAGGCTAATGTAAGTGTTCTGAGCACGTTTAACACATTCCCACCAGCTTGAACCACCAGTGGTATAAGCATGCCTATCCCATCAAGTGGCATGGGACAGTCCCATTAGGGACAAAATACCTGACATCCTCAATTTAAAAGTGAGAGGTTTATTTTAGCTCATGGTTTTTAGTTCATAGTCAGCTGGCTTCGAGGCAGAAATGGTGGGGTGGAGGGTCATAGTGGAGAAAAAGCTATTCATGTTGTGGTGGCTAGGAAACAGAGGGAAGGGAGGAGCCAGGGCAAGAATAAACCCTCCAAATTCATGCCTTCAGTGACCCACCTATTATGGCTTATGTCTGGATTTCCTCCAAAGCCTCCTGTGCTCACAGGTGGGACCTTTGGGAGGTGGCTCAATCATGGGTATGTGATACTAGATTCGTCCACTTATTGGTTTAGCATAATTCTGGGTGTGGGTGACACCCAACCAATACTGAAGAGGTAAGACCCATTCTGGGTGTGGGTCACCAGCCAATAAGCTTGTAGCCCAAATGGAATAAAAAGGGAAAGAAGGAAGGCTCAGTGCTTCCTGCTTACCATGCCATGAGATGTTTCTCCTCTGCCATGCCACCTTGTCTTGGAGTCAACTAACTATGGATGGAATTTCTACAAACTATAAGCTAAAGTAAACTTTTCCTCCTTTAACTTGGGGGTGTCAGGTATTTTGTCCCAGCAATGAGAAAGTAACTAAGATACCACTGCTTTCAACCAGAAAACATGAGACTTTAGGGTGACATTTTAGACTTAAACTATAACACAAGGTTATTTTATGCTATAAACATTTGAATTCTCTCAAATACATTGTTACAAACAGTGACATCATGGGGTTGTTATTACTGGACTTGTTCATTCTGAAGCACACATTCCAAGATCCCTGAAGGAATACGAAGTTGGCCAACCAGTGAAGTTTATGTTAAGTTTACACTCCTGTATCTGAGAGAAAAAGTTTTAGTTACAAACTTGAGAAATCTATCTAACTTAGCAGGAAGGATTAAAAAGAATATGGACAGTGTTCTCATCTTTTGGAAATTCAAACATTAGCCTCATTCTGTGGCTAACAGTGTCCATACTGTTTGAGTGACATCAAAATATACATTAATCTAAGAACAGAAGAAGTGGTTCTTAAAATAAAATAGAGGAAACAATATCACTATGGTTTACAGGACAGTAGGATTTTGCTATAGACTGGATGTGTACCCTCAACATTCATATGTTGAAGCCAAATTCCTAAAGTGATTATTTATGCTGGGAAGCAAAGCCTTGGAAGACGATCAGGTCTCTAAAGTAGAGCCCTAATGAATGGGACTTAGTGACCTTGGAAAAGACACTCCAGGGAGCACCCTTGTCTCTTCTACCATGTAAGGCTGCACAGAAAAGATGGCTGGTATGAACCAGACACTCACTAGCCTCTATGTCTGTTAGGGCCTTTATCATGGACTTCTCAGACCTGTGAGAAATAAATTTGTTGTTTATAAGCCACTTGGTTTATGGTAGTTTGTTTTAACAGCCCAAACAGCTGGGCATGGTGATGCACACCTGCAATCTCAGCACTTGGAGGCTGAGGCAGGAGGATTTCTGAGACTCTGAGGCCAGCCTGAATGACATAGCAAGATCCTGTCTCAACACCGCCCCCACAAACAAAAAAACAAAACCAGCCCAAACTGACTAAAATTTGAAATGACAATACTTTGATTCATCAAACAGTAACTAAATGAATACTGTGTGCCATAAAAGAATTCTGCACAGATTATTTCACTGACTCCCTACATGAAGTTTTCTACCCCCATAACTGATGACTGAGGAGCAGCAAAGGGTCTTGTAGAAATTATACACACAATTTTGTGACCAAGCTGAGATCCAAAGCTACATACACCTTATTCTGACCATCCCAAAACAGATCCCTGAAATTCGGGAATCTGAATCATTTTCATATTTTTATCCTTTCCTAAAAGCCTCCCATGTTCATTCTTGTAAAATGAAAATAGGAAATTATTTCAAAATAAAACGCACAAAATTATAACCTGTTATTATTCATTGACTCCAGTAGGAAAACAGGAACCTGAGAGGAAAAGAAGGAGTAGAGGGTGATGAAGGTGGAGGCAGCACAGGCAGGAGAGATTGCGGCCTTGGGCCTGCTATGATTGTCAGAGGGTAGGTACTCCTGGGTGTTGGTACAGCTTCTTTTCACTTGGTCAACAGGTACTGATTCCGAATCTCCTCTGTGCCAACCACAACGCTGAGTATGAGGTAACTAAGGTGAGGGGTGAGCGGCCTGGGATCCAGAATTCACTCTGGAGGGGATGTCAGAGATCTGGAAAAACAATACTAACACGTGCTGAGAGCTGCACTTCGGCCTCTAGACACTGGAGGACCACGGGGCACTTCCCAAAGGAAGTATCATTTATGCTGGGATCTTGTAGGCAGAGAAGAAGGGAAAAGCCATGTAGGCAGAGCATATTTCCAAAGGCCTGGCAGTTAGAGGGATGGTAATGTGCACTGGAAATGGAAGACAGTTAGTTATGTGCTGAAACATGGGGTGTTACGGAAATCTCGGAAAGAAATACACAGAGACACAGAATTTGGATAAAATAATAAAATTTCTTCTCACGAGCGGGCAGGAAGGCCAGAAACCAGACTGGTCAGTATCCACACCCCTCTGTTCAGCATTTCCCTTTTTATATCCTTTTTAGCCATTATCTCATCCCTAGTGGTCTTTGATATGTAAATACAATTCCAGTTCCTATTTACAAGTCACAGACACAAGACAGGCCGTATACATTGTAAATTCACCCTGGCATGGTAACTTTGTTAGGTTAATGAAGTTACCCCATTAGAGTCAGATAATCCTCACCTTAAACACAGAGTTATGGAAAAGCAAATCTTAAAAGAGCACATTACTTATTTTGCTTCCACAAATACCTTAATATTCAATCTATTAAGTCATCTAAAACTTTCCCTATCAGGGTGCATGGTAATGGCGGTGTTGCAACAGGGAGATGGCACTGCTGAGGTGGGCAGGACTGTGAGTCTGCCACCAAGTGCAGCTTGCATTCTGTATGTCACAGACAGCCAAAGGATTTAGGTAGGGAGTGCCAGGATCTGTGATAAGATCACCGGGTGACAGACTGGAGAAAGTCAGATGGGTGGCACAGAGGCCAGTGGTTATAAACTCTACTTGAAGGGACCCATGCGCCTCTGTGGCCTTTGTGACCTTGTCTAGCTCTCCATTTCACAGGTATAAATCAAAGTCCAGAAAGGTTAAGAGACTTGATCAAAGCTATCAAGCCAGGGAGTAAGAGGGCTGGGACCAGACTGAAAACCTTCTGTGGGCGCTGCAGTGTCCTTCCCACACGCCTAGGCAACCATAGAAAACAGGGAGCTCTGCAGTCTGCAGTCGCTATGTGAGGCTTCAAGTTTATCTGCATGAAGACAACACTACAAAGGTAGAAAACAATAGTAGGTAAAAGAGTGAAACATTGTTTTTGCAATGGTTTGGAATTCCTGCTGTCGTATATATCAGGTAACTAGTGACACAGACATAGCTTAGTTATAAAATAAACAAACATGCAGAGGGGAATTGAGGGAAAGTGCACAGCTACCTTCTAAGTCAACCAAACTAATCAAAGTGTGACCGTGTACATGTCCTGAAACCCAGAGACATGAACAAAGTCCTTTTTGAGCAGCACGGGTCAATTATTTCCTAAGAGCAGGCAGCCACTACTTCAGCCATGTTATCTAAAATCAAATCAAGCTGGGAAGAAAATAGTTCTTCCACAGATTACTATTCACAGGGTTGGTCTGTGGAGATGTTGGCCCCACAGGAACTTGGGATAGTCATCATATGCACTGTTAAGTGAGAGCCTAAGCCTAATGCCCTGCCCCTACAATTTGTAGGCAGGGAAGTGAGTTTGTTCTGTTTTCCCAGAAAACTGAGCTTTCTGAGGGAAGCAAAGCCCTCCAGTAACCTCCTCAGTTTCACCCCAAAGAAGGTGATGTAGATGCAGAATTTATTTTCAGGTTAGAAACAGATTTCCTGACACCTGCACCTTCCCAAGAGGGCCTCAAGACTTCCTATCCGGCGTAAAGTCATGGCGAGTCAGCGGGGATCTCAGAGCCACCTGTGGGCAGAGCCTCCTCCTCACAACATGATCCAGAGTGAGCCCCTGCGTGAGTCTGCATGAGTGGCAGGCCAAGGAAGAAGGTGTCTGTGCTCTGCAGAGCTGTACTTCACACTGCGCACAAGAAACCACTGCGAGAAACAGAGCACATTATGTCTTCAATTGGTCACAGATGGGAGAAAATCAGCCACAATAATAAATTCACGGAGGTGGCGTGTGTCATCACACACGGAGTCAGGATGTGTGATCCAGAAGGTATGTGTGGGGGAGTCAGTACCATATGTTGTTTGACTGCGGTGGGCCTCTCCCATGTCACAGTAACGTGCTCTTCCCAAGCAGCTTCAATGCTGTTCTGGATGCCACTGCCCTCTGCCAAACCTATGTGACTCTTACCAGGTACTGAAGTCTCTGGCGCTCAGTCTCAGGGGTGAATTCCGAAGACATGGGGATGATTTCTCCATTTCTGATGATGATGGCCCTGAAACAGGGAAAATGCATTGTCAGCAGCCAACGTCCTAAGTACCCAACTCCATGACAACCACAGCCTGGTTCAGTCCACACACACGATCCCAGGAGATGCCATCTCCCACCTGCAGAGCAGAACTCACTATCACCAACTCTTGCCATGTTGGAGGCATCTCAGTCCTATGTGTATGGCATTCTAGTTACCTTGATTACTTTTTATGCTAGCTGCAACCACTGTCTTAGTGCCTCAGCACCAAGCATGCCACTCAGCACACAACAAATGCTCAGTGAATAAATGTCTGAATAAATGAACTGCTCACTGCATTTCAGGATTATCCAACAGAACCTTCTGTGAATGTTATCTGTCCAGTCCAAGATGGCAGCCACCAGCCACACATAGTTATAGAGCATTTGAATTGTGGTTAGTGCAGCAGAGGAACTAAATTTCTAATGCTACTTCATTTTAATTGAAATAATTCTAAGTAGGCCCATGTGGCTAGTGTTTAATGTAGTGGAGAGGGTAACTCCAGACCCGTTACTCAAAGGGTCAGTGGGGCAACAGCATTGGCTTCTCTTGGAAGCTTGGTAGAATTGCAGAACCTCCAGTTCTACCCTAGACTCACTGCACCAGAATCTGCATTGTAATAAGACCCCGGCCCAGGTGATTCATAAGCATATTAAAATCTGAGAACCTCCGGCCTAGATTCTTCAGTTTCTAGGATAATAACCTGGGTGCAGAAAAATCCACTTGCATCTCATCTGAAGGCTCAGAAAATTCTCACACTTCAAAACATGTGCCCAAGAGCTTTTGCCAACTCAAGGATTTCTGAGAGACACAGTTCCTAAAGCCAATGTTTCAAGAAAGGCTGCAGGATCGATAGCTGTGGAGGACCCTCTCTTGAGCCCGGTCCCAGTGGCGCCTCCTGTTCTCAGAGCTGATTCCAAAGTGGTTCCCGTCAGCCACTTTCCAGCAATTGCTCGATCAGTTGTGGCATAAGGTTGCTATTCTTATGACAAATGGAAGTGGCTTGGGGAATTGTATTTTATAGCAACCTAACAGCTCTCTGGAACTAGGAAGCCAGGGACCTGCCATGTTTCTCTGTGAAGCCCACAAACACAGACATCAGTTCTGGTATCAGCTCTGGGCGTATACCTTGCTGATACTAGGGGAGACTGCTTTTGTGTGCCAAGAACTCTTTGGGCACCCCTCTCCTCCAACTGGAGAGGCAGTCCTTGACTTGGAAACAATTCCTATAAATAGCACGGCCATAACCCTGACCCCTTGTACCTGTGTCCCTGTTATCATTATAGAAACTGGTAGAGGCAGAAATCGTAGAAGCTTTGGAGAATTATGGGTCCAAAAGCACAAGTTGTGAGAAAGTAGAAAAATGTAGGGAAGCTAATTCTGGGAAGCTCTCGATGTAATATTTTTAAATCACTTCTTCTATTGTGCTGCATAAAATGTGACAGATTAAAGATTCCTTTTTAAAAACCCAAAACCACTTATAAAATACGATTATACTCCTTTCCCGAGGGTGATATCTACCATTCAAAAATCAGCATGAGTTAATTCACATGGTCTTTGACCTAAGAGGGTAGGTACGGTAACTACCATAAGGGAAGAAGGGTTCTGACAGAGGACAGAGAACCTTGGAGAATTTAAAGGGGATGAGGTGTCAGGAAAATCTAGGGTAGGGCCTAACCTGAAAGTACTGACAGGGCCCTGAGGTCCAGAGAAGCTGGAGTGAAAGTTGTTATGTGATACATTGTAAAGGCAGGCTTCTCTTAAAATTTTCCTTGAACTCTTCCCCCGCTTTTTCTACGTGGCTCCTGAATTTCAGCTGATGCCTAGAAGTGGACTAGGAAAATTAAGACATGCTGGAAGGAAGCAGAAGATAATGAATAACAGGAGAGAAGGGTCGGAAAAGGACTGTATAGGGTGGGTGTCAAGAGACCCAGGGAGGATGGTGAATGCCATTCTGCAGGGGGGTGGCCAGGAGGAGCTGGCATCGCTTAATCAGGGCACAGAATCACGACCAGAGTGTCAAGAGGTCAAGGTACCTTATCTGTTCTCTTCACTTACGTTATAAATACTTAGCATAGTGCCTGCTGCGTAGCAGGAGCCCTCTGAATATTTGCTGAATAAAAGAGCATATGAGAAAACTTAGGAGGACACTGTTCCTTGAACTTGAGACAGGAGAAAAACAAGACTAAGAGGCACAGATGTTCACTTCAGCCCACTTTGAGGTGGGCTCCACTTCATGGAGCAGAGGTCCTTCACCTGGAAATTCCACTCCCTCAGCCACCTTTCCCTCTTCTCCTCCGACTGGGGCCAGTTTGTCTATCCTTTCTCACCCCAGAATCCTCCCAGTGCCCATTATCTCCACCTTCTCTCTCCACTAGATCTCTGTCTATAGGACCAAAAAAATACTCAACACACTTTGTGTTTAAAATGAAATAAAGTAAAACTAAAGCCAAACACAAGCATTCTTTCTGCATCGAAAGCCTGTCCTCAGGGACTCTCCTCATTTCCTTCCGATTAAGCCAGGACTTATAGATAGAAATATCTATCCAAGTCTCTATTTCTTTACTTCCCACCCATCCCTCAAGTAAGGGTAGTTTCATTTCTTGCCTTTCTGTCCGTTTTCATCTGCTGTCACTAGCATCTCCAAATGGTTCCCTTGTTGTTCCACCTATTGGGCATGTTACCATTCTGATCTTCAGGGCAGCATCTGGCAGTCTCTCCCAAGCTTGGCTGCTGGGATCTCTTCCACCTGGTTTCCCTCTTACCTCCCAGGATTTCCAGTCCTCCACTGGTGTTGAGGACTAGGACTTTCTCTCACCACTCTCTTCTCCTGGACAAGCTCATTTCCTCACTCCTTAGCCCTAAGGTTTGGTTAGACTCTTCTCCTACATGTTCCCTCAGGCTGGTACTTCTAATACAGAACACTGCACACTTTGTAATTGGGGACTCACTTGTCTTCCTTCCCTCCTAGTCTGTATGCTCCTGAAGTGTGAACCATGTCAGACTGACCAACACTTTGGACCCATTCCTGGACATAGTGCCAAGTCTCTGCAGGCAGGACTGTCTACAGCACCAGAGTCCAGTGCAAAATATGAATGCACAGCCTCTTAAAGGTTGAGAAATTCAAGATGGCAACAGTAGAGTATTGATCAAATTGAGGTCCTTCTGAGAATGTGGTTCTGTGTGACTATGCAGGTCACATGCTCATGAAACTGCCTCAGAGTATGCCTCTGATGTTTACTAAATGAGTAAGTGGATTCAACATCACACTTATTGGTGATTTCAGACAACCTTTCTTGCTAGCACATATCCATTGTGCTCCAGCCTGGAACAGCCAACAGCTAACCCACTTGGATATTCACTAGGTTTGCACATTTAGTAATACTCCAAACTGATGATCCTGTCCCACCAAATCTGTCTATAGTATTTCCTATTTTAGGCAATGATACTCCATTCCACCTAGTTCCAGATGCCAGATTTCTTACTTCTCTCACCCTACAAGTCCAAACAGACTCCCTGCCCTGTAGGCTTCACCTCCTCAGTGCACATTCATACCCTTCATTCCTACTGCTAGTGCTTTGGTTCAGGCTTCCATCACAGCCCATTTACAGAACTCAGAAGCTCACACAGTTCTTCCTGCTACCATTTCTGCCCACCTCTGACCCACGGTCACAAGGGGAGGTTAAATATCTATCTATCTATCTATCTATCTTTAATTTTAAAAACTGACACAATAATTGTACATACAAGGTAGAGTGTGATATTCAATAAATGTATATAACATGTAAAGATCAGATCAGGATAACTGACATATTCATCAGTTCAAACATTCATTACATTTTTGTGATGGGAACATTCAAAATCTTCTCTGCTAGCTATTTTGAAATATACAATGTTCTCAATTATACCTACCCTCTGAGTCTACAGAACATTACAAGTTACTCCTTTTATCCACCTTCACCTCAGTACCTGTCAAACGTCTCTCTGTCCTCCCTAAGCATTCCTAGCTTCTGCTAACCATTATTCTACTCTACTTCTATGAGACTGACCTTCTTTACATCCATATATAGAAGTGAACATGCTATAAGGCAGTTGTAAAGCACCACTGTTATGCTGTATCCCTGACCTAAGTAAGGTCTCTTTCTGTTGGCTCCCTGGCATTTCCAAGTCCCTTCATTATCTGGTTCTCATTGTATTTCTGGCTCTAGCCTCTCTCCTGCTTCTCCTTTCATATCCACTTCTCCCTACTAATGGCCAACCTATTTCTTTGGAGTCAGCTCAGAGTGCCCTTCATTGCCCTCCTGGGCTACCTTTGATGCCCTTTCTCTGTGGTCTCATGGAGTCTCAAGCCTACCTGTACCACAGCCCCTACCAGGCCTAGCTACCATTGTTGGGATCCATGCTTGCCTCTAACTACCCTGAGGATATTTTCCAGGTGGAGCCCAAGCCATTGACTCTCATTCACCAATGCTCAGTGCCTGACAAGCGGCAAATGTGCAACAGCTGTTTACTGAGGGATGAGCAACTAAATGGATGAAGAGCAGCTGGACCTGGATAGATGAACAGAAGAATCCAGACATAAAGGCCCTAACAAGACTTTTCGTACTAACAGCATTAACTGTATGTAGTCTGAGCTCTTAAAAACACATATGCCTTTTCACGGTGTTTGCAAAACCAAACTCTCAGCCTAAGAGAATGAAATTTCTGAAAAGTGTGGGTTGAAGGACAAGGGGTCAGGAGGCAGGGCTGCTCTCCTTAGTGGGAAGGGGAGGGAGAATCAGTCAGGGCAGCAGCTTCCACCACTTCTACTGTTTCTAAATTTTAAATTCACACCTGAGGTGTCTGCATTCAATTTCAGTATAACTGCTGGGGAAATCCTAACACATTACTTTTCTTAAGTAATCAATCTATGTACAGAAAACCCTTCGCTTCTATTTGAATCCCCAAATTCTTCCTTCATGAAGTACCCATGGATTAAAGATGACAGC